CCATAATGTCCCTTTAAAGAATAATACCACACAGTGCTCGGATCTGAAGAAACCCTGACAAACACTGAATGACTTTAGTATTTTTCCATCAATCAGAGTCACAAGGTCGTCGCCACAAAATTCTAAGTGAATGCTTCAGTGTTCCGCAGCCTCTCAAACTGGAGACAGTGGCTACAAAAAACATCAGCAAAGGCTTATAATAGCATAAAATCGCAGGATAAACAATCTAAGCAGCGGTCAATTACTGAATTGAGCAAATTAACGCAAATTCCTCACAATACTCTTAAAAGTCTTGGGAAGGGTGGACCAAAGCAGTGGTTTCAGAAGGCCATCTGCCAAATGACTCATCCGAGGTTAATGCATCATTCGGGGAGGATCTAAAGAGCAGAAAAAAGACTACAAACATTCCAAGCACGGCCAGCACGTCAGTCATCTATGCAAGCGGCCAGTTATCATTCCACACTTCAGCTATCATTCTTTTTGTTAAAAACACTGAAGTGAAAATTAGGTGTCTGTGGTGAGATCATGAATGTGGTCAAAACATGTATCCTTTTTTTGAAAAATTGATCCAGAAATGTCTTACCAACGAAGGTTTTAAACCAGATTAATGAATAAATATGAAAATACTGTACACACTGATAACGTATATATTTATATGAAAGTAATGGCATACCCGTGATTTAATTTTATGTGCATGTACCACCCAGGTTGTTGTCAAAGCATGAGTCTAGCTATGTGCCTGCACACGTGTACACCAGGTGTACATGATGCAAAAGATGATGTGTGTATAGCTTTGAAGCACCTGGGTTCTCTGTCTTATGCAACAGATGTCAAGAATCCACCAGCCATCATATAAAGCAGAACCACATCACTGTCTTTCAAATGTAATAGCAAGGCATCAGAAAGGGCGCAGAATGGACGTTTCCCAGACACTGGAAGGAGGGGAAAGAACACGATGAATGAAGGACTGTAATGGTTTGCATATGTTCAGGTAAAGACAGAGGCTGGTGGGCGAGATGGACTTGCTCAAAGGATTGTCTGGCGAAGGATCAAACGAGAGACGTGTCCTCCCATGTTACATAAGAGCAGCTCCTAATCCTGACAAGCTGAGGGACTGTGTCAAAACATCCAACCTGTAATCATTAATGCAAGCATGACATGATAATGAGTATTGAGTATTGAGATAATGAGTATGGGCCCACAGAGATGCGGAAATCACAAGCTGAGGTATTATGGTATCAAACATTACCAAATTTTTCTCACTTTTTTAAAATACAAGTTTGATGTAGTATGTAAACAATGTAAAAGTTTCAAAACATACCATTCATCCTATTTCACCCTAAGGTACATATAGTCCATAAACAAAAATGCAAGAAATTATGCCCAAAAAAAGCCTATTTTTTTGTGATGTCATTAAAAAAATAACACATTAACATATCTTCACCTATTCGGCAAACAGGAGTTTAGCCCCACCCATTCACATTGAAGTTATAAGGGGTGTTTCAGTCTGGACTGCTTTCTGAATGAAGTACAAAATAGGGCAGCGAATCTGAACAGAGGACATTTACATATATCCATCCTAAAGGCACACTAACAAAAACAGCCAGGTTAATTCCAGGGAATAAAGACAGTTTGGAAAATGGTCATGTAAAATAAATGTAATGTAGAATTACTCTTAAGTAATTTAAGTATACTATATAACTAACGTTGTCGCTTTTTAGACTTTGTCAGTTGTAGCCTTCTCTTATCATACCAATCAAAGTGAACGGTTTCTCACACTTCAAATGATTAAGATGCTCATCCAAGATAAAGCAAAAAGCCAAATCAACATGCTATAAAATGAAACCATTTCACTTCCTTTAGACGTTCCAGGGCAAATTCCACTGAATAATGTAACAACCTAACAATATAAATTTAACCACAAAGAATTACAGCTCAAGGCTGCAGACTACATAGACTAATTCATTCACGCCACAAACATGGAGCACAGAAGGAACCGATATTGTGTTTGAACATGAAGAGAATACATTATTTCCAATCTCTGGCAAAAAATAAAAAACTGCGTGTACAACAGTGCACTGTAGTACTGTGCATCAAGGGCTAGTAAAAGAGATTTAAAGTTTTCAGGAGAGAGACACTGACACAGAGAGACACAGAGAGACAGAGAGAATATTACCCCAAAAGAGCAGTTAGGTTTAAGTTAGATTTATAGGCACTGACACAACACGAAGAGTGCTAAAAAACTATGACATGAATTTGGTGTGAGACCCTGAGTGCCTCCTCTGTTCTCCCCCACTTATCCTGAGTCTTACTTGAAGGGGACTAAATTGGTTACAGCTGCTTGTTGCAGGAAAAAAAAGAGCTTCAAATAGGTACAACACGAGAAGCTGCTTGATCAGACAGATGTGATTCCCTCTGGTCAAGCTGAAGGGAGAAAAGTCCTATATTGGGGGAAGGGGGCAGGAGCCAGCAGAGAAACCGTTATGTGGAGTCAGGAAACGTAGCACAAAGCCAAAGGTGTAAGGAAAGCACACGGGTTTCAACTCTAGTATTATTCTACAACAGGCAGAGCCTGGCTAGTGCTGAGTGATATATTGTCTATATCAGTATACAGTGAGATTTCTACAAAATATTATGATATTGCTTTTTCAGTTTTAGTGATGTACTCTACTGATAATGAGCATTATATCAATAATATAATGCCCACCAAATAGCAGTGACCCTGCTGCCAAGTGGTTTGTTTTTGGCTTTTTAAATTCTATATTGTGCTATTTACTCATTGTATCCAGAACCTGAGAGTTATCAGCAATGTATGAGAATTATGGGGTACTTATGGTTGTTTTTAAAAGAACATTTTAAAATGTGGGATGGACGATAGGGACAAAATATGATCATGATACTTTAGACAAGCCAATTCACTACGCGACAAGACATACAGTCAAACTGAAAAATAAGTTAACAAAACCTCTATAGCGAACACACTTCTGCACATTTTGATGACCAATTACTGTTTATTTGCTTAATTCAACATATTCAAATAAATTAAATATTAAATATGGGTGGCAAAAGTTTAAAGTAAGGAATGTTTAAAGTTTTATGTTTTTTTTTGTTTAAACAATGTTAAAATCAGCAAATGTGCAATGAATATGACTGTATATTCATGACGCACAATATGCATCATAATATTTTGTTTTTCTGAGATGGCATGGAACAGACAGAATGACCGAGCCATGCCACATTAAAAAAAAAACAAAAGCTATCAAAAACGAGGTGTGTACAATTAGAATCGGCCAAGACCAGAACAGACCGTGTTTTTTTTTTCTAATGTAAAAAAACACGAGTTAAGTGCACTTGTCCTACATTTGAATGCTACTGCTACAACTGTTTCAATATGTTGTATAATAACTACACCACTCATTAACTGGGCCATATCAGCGATAAATAGGCAGTTGCCTCTCACATTCAATGTAGCACTTCATTTGACTAATGTTATTTAAATCGGCAACTATTGTTTTGTTTAAGAATTTAAAATGCCAGTGTGGCCCATTAAAGAGTAACTAGATTATGATACTGCACTGGGCTTGGGGCACTGAAACAGCACGGCTCTGAAGACATTAAAAGATAAAACAGCTCAAACACACATAAACTAAAGCCATTTCATCTGTTATGTTTGCAGATGTGGTCTTCAGGCTGGAGTTATCCAGGCCCATGTGCACCAACAGCACTGTGGTGTCAGTTTGACATCCACACACGAATCAGTGTGAAATGTCTTCATGGCCCAACCTGCCATTTGTTTTTACACCATCAGCCGATGAAAAGCTGCTTACTTTACTCCAGCACCAAAAGGGTATGACCAAATGGAAAAGTGAAGAAAATGACACAGAAAGTAAGAGTTCTGTATGGGTTCTGTAAACGACGAAACAAATGTGTCAGACTGTAGCTAAAGCCAAAACTCTTGACTGGTACAACTGTTAAAAGGAATATATAAAGCAAATAAGGGGCGATATGGCAAAATGTCATATAGCGATACCTCAGGAAGTTTTTTAACGATACATGATATATCACAATATTTATTTTTTTCTGACCTCTGCTGAGTTAGAACAGACAATGTAAGCACACGTTTTAAAAATACTATCAAAATATTTAAGTTCAATATTTTGTGTTCAACATTTTACACACCACTGCACCAAATCCAAATAAACAGTGATGATTATGCTCTCTTTTTACATAAGCAGTTGGGACGTGTTTTTAAGCACTGACAATAACCACGATATGCCCAGAAAAGCATTCTGTGACATATTGTGATGAAATTTATCACGATAATGATAAATACTGTCATACTGCCCAGCTCTAAATACAGCCTGCTGTAATTATATAGAGCACCATACAGAAGAGACAGGAAAACAACAGAAGGCTAATCTGTTTGATACGGCTATGGGTTAGCGTTAGCCTACTGACGCCGGCTAGCAAGACATCTACCAACACTTTTTTCTGTCAACATTACAAAAGAAAAGTATTCTCAAACTTTTAGCTGTTATCACAGACGTGGGGAACCGCTCTGGAGAAGCTTTTCTCCGTCCGGGTGGGCTTGTTCGCCGAGTTGTCAGCACAGAGTAAAGCTGCTGAGAGAGACGGCTGAGCGGCTGACTGACTGACTGAGTTATAACGGTCACCGAGTCCGCATAACGAATTCAGCTAACTGTTAACGAGCAGCTCAAAACGGCCAGGTTACTACTTTCTATGTATTTTAAGCTCGTTTACGCGGCTTAAAACAACATTAACTTAGCGAAAGCCTGAGCTACAGGATGCTGTAAATAACAAATCAACAAGTTTAAACTCCGCAAAATAAAAGTAGCCTAAAAACAGATCGACGCGATGCTCTGCCGGACAGTACAGCAGCTGTAACTACGTCCTCACAAAAAACCGGGAAACTGAGAGAGCCATGTCACAGAAAGTGAGCTAAAAGAGGGAGAAAGTAACGTTAAAGCGGCAGGACTCACCCTGGGCATAAACGAAGGCGCAGAAGTTGCAGGCGAGAAGCAAAAAGGTTATCTGAGAGCGCACACACATCTTAGTGTTGTCCCGCAGCGCATGGTGAACTCAAACCCAAACGAGACTGTGTCGCTCCGACCCGCTCCATGAGACCGTCCGTCCCCGGGGTAAACTCAGACTGCATGTGCGCGGGGGCTCCGCCGCTTCTCCTCCACAGACAGGCCGCGGGCAGGGACACGGCGAGAGCGGAGCGCACCGGGCTTAGTGACCGCAATGCGCATGCGCGGTGGGAGAGAAGAGAAGAGGGGGTCCGGGGAAGCACAGCAGCCATGGAGGGAGATATAGAGGAAGGGAGACAGGGGGAGGGGGGAATGGGCGGGGCAGATGAGGAGATGGGCGGGGCATATGAGGAGATGATGCTGAGAGTAGTGGAGAGAGAAAGAGCCTGAAAGGGGGTAAGTAGTGGACAGGGACAGTAGAGGAGATTGAAGCTCGAAGTCATAGACACTACACACGTTGGGCTTATGTTGTCCGGCTAACTGAGAAAGCTGGATACAAACTGAGAAAGCAGAAACAATTTTCTCCATCCTGGTCCTGCATGTATAACTTCACCTGCTCGAAAGCACTTGATCCAATAAATCAGCGAATTTACCTCTAAAACTCCAAACTATGCTAGATGTGCTAGAGTACAGGAAATACTAATATGTGCTATTATGAGTTGCTTTGGAGCAGCCAGACATAAGACTAACGATGCATGTCCACTTTCAACTTCGACTTTCAGCATCCTTTTTATTTCAGTGGAGAGCTCTGCTTCATCGCGTGGGGCATGATGGGCTGTGGAGCATGCTGGAAATCCTAAAAACGGGAGGGGCGTAACTCCAAAATGGGTGGACCATAGCTAAAAATGGGAGGGCCATAACTCCAAATGGGTAGACCATAGCTCCAAATGAGAGGGTTGTAGCTTCAAATGGGTGGGTCATAGCTCCAAATGGGAGGGGCATGACTCCAAATGGGAAGGGCGTATCTCTAAATTGGTGGGCCATAGCTCCCAATGGGAGGGACATAACTCTAAATTGGTGGAGCTTAGCTCCAAATGGGAGGGGCGTAACTCCAGACGGAAGGGGCATAGCTCCAAATGGGTGGATCACAGATCCAGATGAGAGGGGCGTAACTCAGAGTTCTTCACTGTTGGTCGTGGAGAAGTCTAGCAGTGATATTTTTTGTGGTGCTGGGTTCCATGTTCCTGCTGGCTGGTTGTAAAACATAATTATGTTGTTGATAAATGTATTTTTTTATATCCTGTGTGCATTAAATACATGGACAGATCACGATGTCCATTTGATTTTTTGAATAATCAAAAATGTAGAGTAGTTGAATGGGCTAGATCTGAGTTTGAACGATGGTGTATGTAACTCATTCTTCTTAAGATTTCATGTTAACTGTTTAAAAGTGGATATGCATTTGTGTGAATATTGAAATGACTTATTCTACCAGTGCTTTCGCTCTTTAATATCAACCCAACCTAAAGGTGATCTGCGCAGATTCACATTTTTTTCAGATAAATATGAAGTACAAGTTAATGTTATTTAGGCTAATGACTGTCAGTGATGCTGATATTTGCTACTCTTCTCACACATTCATCAGAAACAAACAACCTTTTTCATATTATTTCATTCAGTTAATAATTTAGCCTCAACATCAACAACATGCTCGTAATTTGTTTGGCTTCATCATGCCACATTACATCTTACTCAGATGCTATTTCAAGCATGATATTTATCACTGTTGTCTGAACAAAACCTTGTGTCTCCAAAACGGTAACTTTACAGGAGAAGGAAAAACATACTTTACTTTTAATGTAAGTCAATGGAACCAGACTTTTTCCAAGTAATTTTGGGCCATTTCTTTTGGTCCATTCATTATGAATTTATACACAATGTAAAGGGCAACAGGCACTTTCAAATTATGTCAAAAACTGAAAAACAAAAAAATGACAAAAATGGAAATACAAGGTTTAATTCCGACAGCAGCGTTATGTTTGATGTAAATAAAACTATTTACAGTGTGGTGTCAGAGCACACTTGAGTTTAGTTAGTCTGTTCTGTAGCTTTAAATTAGCCTTTTCGTCCTGGGGACTTTTTAGGAGAGCCAAGGCTGACAGTGAGAGCAAGCCTAGCCTAAGGACAGTGTTTTTCCCTTTCCTTCTGTGCTGAGTTTAATGAAGCCGAGTTATAAACCAGCCTTTTAATGTCTCTGAGTTTCTCCTGAGAACCCCCTGCACTATAATGCTAAAAGGTCAGTATTTCATATCATTGAGATAAGCACTGAGAGCATAAAGAGTTCTGGACCCTCTAGAGTTAACTTAAGTCTGCTTACATACATTGGTTTTATACCAATAATAAAGCATTTAACAGAACGCAAACCCATTTGGAGCTAAGACCTACCCATCTGGAGTCAAGTCCCTCCTATTTGGAGTGTGTCCAGCCTGCAGGAATACGTACTGGAAAGAGATCAGCAGATATCAACTTCATTCAAATTAATGTGGCCACCGCACTTCCACTTTCGTTTCAATCAGAGAAGAGTAGGCTGGTCACTACTAATGGCAAACATAACTTTCTCTGAAAGTAGAGACGGCCAACAGCAGCTCTCTTTCTCTGCTTTGAGTTCATGACAGTTTTACATAATAATGAAAATATCTGGTTTTAAACACAACTGTTGACAGTGAACATTTGGAGGGAAGTTTGTTTGGATGTAGTTCACATGGTTTAAGTGGGAAGGCAACATTTGAATTTACAGAACTCATATTTACTTGCTAATGCAGGTAGCTTCCTACTGAGATAGAATGAGGTAAGTTTCTAGCTTGTGTGGATGACAGACGCATCCTGAAAATCCAAAAGCCTAAAAAGCAGAGGTCTGTATTTCAGTTTCATTATAAGCCTCTATGCAATGGCAAACCATGTATCAGGTTGTTTACTGCACCAGAAATGCTCAGTACAGTTCCTTAATTTCCATAATAACATAGAAATACCCACCAGCAGTGAGCAGAGAGATCTCTCTGCTGAGAAAGAGAGAGTGGAAAAGGGCAAGAAGTGGACACATAGTGTCATTTCACCATGCCCAATGTCAAGCATCAGCTAGAGAAGTATAAAACCCTCAACACTGGGTGATGGAGGGGTGGAACCGTGTTCTCTGGAGTGATGGAGATCCATTTAGTACTTTTGAGATGAGTTGGAGTGGAGTTTGTGATCCAGAATTAATCATCCAACATCTGTTCCCAGTAACGCTCTTGTGGCTGAATGTACAATGTAAAAAAAGGGCCCAATTTTACAGAAAATAACCCTACATTTTTACAGTAGTTTTCTGTTTTTTTTTAAATTGCATACAAAACTCAGTAAAATTACAGAAAATATCTGTAAATTAACAGCCAAAATGGTCTTTTAAGGATTATGCCAATAATGACAAATTACATTTATTTCTTATTTTTTACTGTATTAAAAAAATTACTGTATTATTTATACAGTATTTTTTGCTTTTTTAAATTAAATGCGCATTTCTGTAAAAAGACACCAATTATCTGTAATTAGATATGTAGCACCTTATATAAAGATTTATGTCCATACTAACAATTTAATATTTTTTCTTTGTACTTTTAAGGTAAATTGTATTAGTTTTTATATTTTTGTATAATTTGACATTTAAACTATGTAATTCTGGATCCAAATTTATCAGACATGTTTCATTACATCAAACATAATGCATAGTCTTTTTTAAAGAGTACAAAGCTACACTGCTCTCAAGGTTGCAACTTTCTGGCACGTTTGTGGCTCTGGCCACACCCATGTCACATGAGTGATGTCACGGTGAGTTTAAGCACATATATGCTGATAAATCTGACAAAAGTAAAATGAGTAAGGCAAAGTCAGGAAAACAAGGCATTGCAATAGTCCAGGCAGGAAGTAGTAGAAACAAGAATGATGAGCTTTAAGCCCTTTAGAGCAGCAACATGCTTAAAAGTTTCTTGATTAATTTCAATTTGACTAAGCTTGATTACCAGTGAGCACGTTGCTGAAAAAGGCTAAGAGTGGGTTAATATTCATGAATTCAAATATATCTTAAAAATAATTTTTATTTATTGTGTTACATTAAACTGGAATAGGACTTTATCTGCTGTTCAGAAAATTGAAAATGACAATGATATATATATATATATATATATATATATATATATATATATATATATATATAGCACTTCAATATTCCTAATATCATTGACACAAAATTAACAGCAGCTAACATCTGATTTTGATTGAATTTGAGCTAATGGTGGTGAGTAGCTAAGCTACAGTTATGTTTTTTGCAATCCTTGGAAAGGCAGTCTTCTGCTTGTCCACTTCTCTGACCAGTCAGTGATTATGTGTTTGTATTTCTGTTCAGGTCTGTCATTGGTGATGTGGAGAACGACATGTGAGTGCACAATCACAGAAATTTACACAATTTGAAGAGACTGTAATGAGGATGTTGCTGAACTATGGGACGTTGCTCTTGTGATAGAGGTCAACAATCTTGCAAATGCATTCATCATGGTATTTGGACTCATTTATGCCTGATCTCAGCTTTCTGACAACTTAAAATACACATTTGAGTTTGTCCAGAAGATCTTGAGGAATTTGGATGGACAGAAGCTAAACAGAAAAGTTCAAGGTTAAGATGTTAACATATGGTGGAAATTAAGTTTCTTTGGCTGGTCTGGCGTTACATCTCAGGTTAAATGTTCACCAAAAAAACTGCATTGAGTCTTGAAGCTCATGTTTGTTTTTGAAATTTTAGTTGTCTTCAAGATGATATTTGAAATGGCATTTTAAATGAGTTGGTCTTGCACTGTAAATTCTTGACTACGCTTAGGGTTGGATGTTAGTATTAAGATATTAAATCCCTCTGAGTTTGCGTGGTCTACTGCTTTGTGGCCGAGCTGTTGTTGCTCCTAGGTGCTTCTATTTTACAATAATAGCACTTACAGTTGACAGGGGCAGATCTAGCAAGACAGAAATTTCACAAACTGACTCGTGGCAGAGGTGGCATCCTATGACAGCACCATGTTTAAAGTCACTGAGCTCATCAGTTTGACCCATTCTACTGCCAGTGTTTGTCTATTGAGACTGCATGGCTATATACTAAATTTGATCCACCTGTTAGCAATGGGTGTGGCTAAAACACCTGAACTCAGTAATTAGGAGGGATGTCCCAATACTTTTGTCCATATAGTGTATGCGCAGTGCAGACAAACTCCAGGACCAGAGTTGGG